TGACATCCCACTAGTTTTATGCTTTGTCTTGGTGTCCCAGTGTAGGAGAACCAATTTTCAATAGATTGTAGAATTACACAATGAAGAAAAATATAAAAATTATAGAAAATTTAGAAATCCATCCATCAATTTCCAAAGTACAAGGTTTCCCATTTTCGTGTGTTTTACAGGATTTTTTTATGTTTATGAGTAGATGTACAAAGATACGGTTTTCATATTACTGTGCTATGAAATTAAAGCTGCTACACACAGATTTGTTAGTTTTCTTACTATTAATAGTTAGTTTCTTTCTATTACTAAAGTACGTCTACTGGATCTGTGTCTATGAAAGAAAGTGGGCAAAAAACATTTAAATAAACAGCAATATATTTTATAAATCGTTACTTAAATCTTAAATAGAAGCGGTAGAGAGTCAACGTAGACTTGACGAGTATGTCACCGCAAAACACTCCGGCGGACACCACCGAAAATCCATCTACACCACTCAAATACGTGAAAACTCTATGGTCTCAATTTTCACCTTTTCAATAAGTTATAAGATAACCGAGATACCGAAGAGAGATACACACAACACACAACAAATTATTATAAACACGGATTAAAGATGCTACTACACTGTGTGTATACGTAGCATCTTTAATTTCATAAAAAAGTTGCACAGTAATGTTAAAACCGCATCTTTGTAGCTTTACTTATAAACGAGAAATCCTGCAAATTACACAAAAATGGGACACCCTGTGCTGTTGTAAATCTTAATTAGATGTTTTGAAGGTTGTTTTTACTTGCTAACGTTCTATTATTTCGAATCAACAAAAATAAACGGAAACTTTGCTATCGAAACTTACCACAGAATTATACCGATACAGGCTGGCCCTGATGTCATCCTCTGGCAGATCTATGGGCACCTCGTGGACCAGCAGGGAGAAAGTTTTCTGAGGGCGGCAGGGAATCGCCACTTTGCGGTACAATCGGCCCCCAGTGACCTATAAAATTTATTGGAGAATGTAGGTTAGGTTGACTTTTGTGCGGGAGTTGTTTGACAAGGTTGAAAAACAAAAGAAAAGAATCTTTTTTCTTCTAAATACACATATGTAATTTTAAAACATTCTTTGCTTACAAGACGATGTGGATATTGAAATATGTATACAAAATATTGGAATACATACAGGAAGATTATGATATTTTTCGTTAAATTCTCTGAAGATATTAGTATCACCTTTCCCGTAGCATTGAAGTTAATAAATATATATGCTCACTTACTTTCATAAAAGAGCAAAACAATTATACGTTATAAAATGAATAATAGTCAATTCTCAAATAATAATAAAGGATAATTTTTATATATTATTTTCACACATTTTTCTTCAATATCGAATCGTTAGTCCCACCCTGATGCAGATGTAAACGAAACGCCGTATCCAACTTTGCAAGGTGGAACCAATCTGTGGTGGAACCGTGTGCACCGTCGCTCACAAAGCTTACTCACCAAATTTGGTCGCGATCGGACGACATCAACTTTTGACGTTTCTTACGTTAAAACTAACTGTCACAGTGATACGTGTCGTAAATTGTTAAGTTGGCCTTGGTCCAATCTATCGACATACCAAATTTCATTTAAATCGGACGATTTTTTCAAACCCCACCACTTTTTCTTTCGTGTGTCGTGTGTGGTGTCACGGCCTTGAATTTTTACACCCAGCGCGTGGTAAAGAAGTTTCAATTACAAAGTTTATTCTATTGTACAGATGATCCCGGACTATATTGTAGAACATTTTCGTAAAAATTTAGCCATTTGTAGCTTCAATTTTTGTTGAATCCACAATAAGAAAAATAACTGCAGCCGCAAACAAAAAACCGTCCTAGTCAGCGACCGTTTAATATTCAAAATCGCGATTCGAAAGGTTTAGAATAAATCGCTGGGTTCTTTCTGTGCGAAATCCAATAAGTTCCGTCGACAATAGGGTAAAAGTTTCCGGGGCGGCATTCCGCGAACGACGACACACACAAAACCGCAAGAAATATCGAACTTTGTGTGCGATTTTCCATCCGCGCCGCTTCCACTCGGGGCTGCGAGGAAACTTGGACCGTAAGAAAGAAAACTCAAACGATATTCGCAACGAAAGCCGAACGCCTCGCGGTGGTGCAGATGCGGCCACCTCTAGCAATTTCGTTCCGGTTAAACGGTGGGTGACACTTTGAATTTTGAAATAATAAAGTTTGGGCGACAGAAGGATAAACAATGCACTTCGATTGCGCTACTCTGGGATGTAAAAAGTCATACTGATATACCAGGTTACATTGGATTATACATGGAGATACAAAAATGTGTTTTTACGAATCCGTAAGTATCAGTATTTAGAAATTCTTATAGACGTAATTAATTACCAATAGTCCTGAAGAACTACAAGCACAAATTAATGAACTAAATACAGTCAGCAATAAAGTGGGTCTCAAAATGTATAAGTACCTGAGACAAAAATTTAACCTCTTGTACATACGCTCCGGGAACGTATTGTAGAGCATTTTCGTAAAAATTAAGACAATCATAACTTCAATTTTTTATTGCATCCACAATAAGAAAAATAACTGCAGCCGCAAACAAAAAACCGTCCTAGTCAGCGACCGTTTAATATTCAAAATCGCGATTCGAAAGGTTTAGAATAAATCGCTGGGTCCTTTCTGTGCGAAATCCAATAAGTTCCGTCGACAATAGGGTAAAGGTTTCCGGGGGCGGCATTCCGCGAACGACGACACACACAAAACCGCAAGAAATATCGAACTTTGTGTGCGATTTTCCATCCGCGCCGCTTCCACTCGGGGCTGCGAGGAAACTTGGACCGTAAGAAAGAAAACTCAAACGATATTCGCAACGAAAGCCGAACGCCTCGCGGTGGTGCAGATGCGGCCACCTCTAGCAAAAGGTTAAACGGTGGATGACACTTTGAATTTTGAAATAATAAAGTTTGGGCGACAGAAGGATAAACAATCCACTTCGATTGCGCTACTCTGGGATGTAAAAAGTCATACTGATATACCGGGTTACATTTTGGATTATACATGGAGATACAAAAATGTGTTTTTACGAATCCGTAAGTATCAGTATTTAGAAATTCTTATAGATGTAACTAATTGCCAATAGTCCTGAAGAACTACAAGCACAAATTAATGAACTAAATACAGTCAACAATAAAGTGGGTCTCAAAATGTATAAGTACCTGAGACAAAAATTTAACCTCTTGTACAGACGCTCCGGGACCATATTGTAGAGCATTTTCGTAAAAATTAAGCCATTCATTATACCAGCGTTGATTGAAGAAATAAGAAGATGCGCAACCGTATGGGCGATTTTGTGGCACAAAACCTGTCCGATATGTAGCTGGCGTTACCGTTAGTCTATACGAGAATTCCGAGATTTAGTTTAGCTCCTTGGAAAATTAGATTTGATCGTCTAATGTTTTTAGTGTCTTGCCCTGGCCCGTTAAAAGATGCCAAAATCGTATTTTTAATCATATCTCAATTTTTTCAAATGGAACGAGGATGGCTCACTAGCATATTCGGAAAAAGCATTTTTTTACGAATAATTTGATACCACACACTTGGTATTTTGAGTCAAATTGTTCTTATGAACCGCATGTTACAATCTCAAATAAACCATATGCCAAAATGTCAAAAGTTGACATATGATACGTCATTCGATTCAGAGTGTCATTTTCTATCGAATAAAGTAAAAAAAATACCGAGAGCGCCATTTAAAAATCAAAAGTTGTAGTCATTTCCGGTGAAACAGGAAGTGACCGAAAACAATTGAATACGCCAATCAATCCCAATTTATGTCATATACTAACATACCAAATATCGTTGTTTTATCTGAAAAAATAAAAAAGTTATAGGGGGTGAGCCACTTTTGAGACGCACCCGGTATACGAAATAAAACTTGATGAATCAGCTAATTAAAAACAGAAGGAGCCAAAGAAATAAAAAAAACAATAATGAACTGACACAGTATTAATATGCAGGTCAATTCTTTTGATTGTTGCTTTTAAGCTGTTAACGAACGATTATAATTAATTCTAGTTGGAACGCAAAAGGTATCGTTCGTTACACCATTCTCTTGTTGATGGAACGCATTTTATCTCCTGCTTTTAAACGTAACCATACCAAAAACGATTCTCTACTATGTTGGAACAAACCTGATATTACGATTATTAATTACCTTGTGAAAACCTTTCCTGAAGACTTGCTGGAAGTCCTCCGGCTCGGAAAACTTGAACAGGATGCCGGTGGCCGTCTTGGTCAGGCTGAAGCTGCCCCGAAAATTGAGCTTGTCGCAGATGTTGGCGGCTTTGTCCAGACTTAAGTCGTGGGAGGGTGTGAGCAGGAAGGCGCCTAAAACCGGGATGCCATTAACTGTAACAAGGGGCGAACCAGTTCCAGTCCAAAGTTCGCGGATTTTTATACTATATACATAGTTAAATTGTGCCAAAAAATGTTTTTCCATAGTGCCTACTGCTTCACAGAAAAGGCAAAAATGGTATTAGTCCAGTCATCTTAGTCGAAATAGGGTAGGAATCTCGGAATTCATGATAACCGGCTGTAAGCTCGTATAAACCTTTATTTTAACATCCTAAAACATGTTTCAAAACCTACATATGATAGCGTGTGCGTGACTTGTAGATAACTGAGGTCAAAAGTCAAAAAATCGATTTTTTGCGCATTTTTTGCAAATATCTCGTTCCCTTTCACATTTACGCTATTTGTATTTATTACAAATATTGTAGAGGATAAAATTCTCTACAACTTTTGTTTGAAAATTTTTTTTTGTACCTCAAACCGTTTTTGAGATAGAGGGCGGTGAGCGCGCAGTCTTTCATTATGTACGGTATCATTCAAGTTCAACCTGTAGTCTCGGTCAAAAACACGCCGTAAAAAGTCCGTTAATTATTGAAAAATATATAATTATAAATAATTTACATTTTTTCATAAAAAGTCATATTTAATATAGGTAATATTTTTTTTTCATAAATTAAGTATATATCTTCATTTAATAACACTTACCTCTTTCTACAATTAGAAAATTCTTCTTCTTCTTCATCATCGTCGTCTGGTCGTTGTGGAATTTCAAATTCTTCTTCAATTTCGTCTTCAACGACATTTGTCTCCAAGTCTTCTAGGATTTCGGGGTCAAATGTACCATCTTCATTGACATCACTCTGATAGGGTGAAGCATTGAGACAAGCTTGCCCATTACACTGGCCACAAGCTAAAGAGCACGGCAACCCTGATTTCCTGCATCCACATCGCGAACCACAACCATTCTTACAATTGCAGAATATTGTGTTCAGCAAATTTTCTGGAGCTGGAGGTAGAATAGTAGTGGTAGGTTCCAGGAATCCATTACGCATTATCCTACCCCAGTCCTGGGGTTCTAAATCATGCCCTAACCAAGTCTAATTGTACAAAGAGGTAAGTGTTATTAAATGAAGATATTATACTTAATTTATGAAAAAAAATAATTATATTCAATATGATCTTTTATGAAAAAATGTAAATTATTTATAATTATATATTTTTCAGTAATTAACGGACTTTATACGGCGTGTTTTTGACCGAGACTACAGGTTGAACTTGAATGATACCGTACATAATAAAAGACTGCTCGCTCACCGCCCTCTATCTCAAAAACGGTTTGAGGTACAAAAAAAATTTCAAACAAAAGTTGTAGAAAATATTATCCTCTACAATATTTATAATAAATATAAATAGCGTAAATGTGAAAGGGAACGAGATATTTGCAAAAAATGCGCAAAATATCGATTTTTGACCTTTGACCTCAGTTATCTACAAGTCACGCACACGCTATCATTATGTAGGTTTTGAGACATGTTTTAGGATGTTAAAATAAAGGTTTATACGAGTTTACAGCCGGTTATCTCGAATTCCGAGGTAAAACCCCTAAGATGACTGGACTATTTCACATCAAGCTGAGGAGGATACCGATGTCCTTATTGCAAGAAGAACAACGTGGCTCCCTTATACAGGGTGAGTCTTAAATAAGTGCAAATATTGTTAGGTATAGTATATTTCGATCCTAGAAACACTATGATGAGTTTTTTTCGCGAATTTTTTTTTTTGAAAATTTGAAATTTTTTAGATTTTTTTTTAGTTTTTAGTTAAAAAACATAATTTCTTGATAATATGGCAACATGGCATATGGCAACAACAATTAGTTTAAATTTACAAGAAGGAAAACCTAGGGAAGATCCAGCGGTTCTGAAAATTTAAGCAAAAAATCTTTATTTTTTAATTTTTCAAACTAAAATAGCAAGGTTATTTTGGACTTAATTGAAAAACGGTAAAGAGAAAATATGTTTCTTTTCTCGAGATCTAACCAGCCCTCAAAATATATGAACTTTTTTAAGACTCGTCTTGTATAATTACGTAACATATTTAGGGGGTATATTTATTTTTTAGTAAATTCCATTGGCTTATGTATAAAGAATTTCTTTTTTCTAAAACCTGAAAAAGGTATCTCAAACAAATTAAAACCAGACAGTTAGGTATCTCAAACACCATGATGTTCTGATACTATAATTCACGCAATAAATAAGTGTGACCTGTGTGACACAACTTCGGAAGTTTTACATAAAAATAATGACTTGAAATCCGCCATTAATGTTTTTAAACATCCCCAAGCAAACTGCATAGAACGATATTACTGAAGTTGAAAACTTATTTCTAATGGATCTACAGGGTCCCGCAAAAGTGAGTCGGGTATAGGTAGCCACTAGAATAAAAGTCTTAGGAATTTTGGTTAAGCGCAAAACTAGATATTATAGGATGTATTTCAAGAAAATATTTTAACTTCTACAACCTGGGCAAAAAAGTGTGAGTGGATCGGGACGATTTTTTTTAAATGGAACACTCTGTATATTATTGCATGTTATTTTGGCTTCCTTTTAGATCACTTTACATAATCCTATATGAGTAAATATATTTCGATAGTTTCAGAGATATTAATAAATAAATAAAAAATATATACATATTTTTCAGCCTGTCTTAAAAAAATTATTACAAATAGAAGAACTGTCCTGAAATCAAAATTATATTAGGTATTTACTTTAGATGATCTATACTTAGTTTTCTATAAATATCGTAATCTAAAATTATACAGGGTGTTCAAAATTCTACGCCAAACTTTCTAAAATATAAAATAATTTTTCTTTGTTTTTTTTAATGGAACACCCTGTAAATTATTATTTTATTAAATGGAGAATTAAAAAATAAACATTTTTGTATTTAGACTATTTTTAACTTAGTAAATTTTTAACGGTTTCGCAGATACTCGCGATTTTATATTACACATGGCATTTTCCACAGTAAATTTTTATCAAAAGCCACCCAATGATTTTTCTTTCGTACCGTTGACAGAGTCATATTAAATAATATATACCGCGAGTATCCGCGAAACCGAAAAATTTGGAAATACTCTAAATACAAAAAACCTTTGTTTTTTAATTCTCCATCTAATAAAAAAATAATACCCTGTATATTATTTCCATTTAAAAAAAGTTCTAAAAATTTATAGTTCCATTTAAAAAAAGAAGAAAATTATTTTATATTTTAGAAACTTTGGCGTAGAATTGTGAACACCCTGTATGATTTAGATTACGATATTTATAGCAAAGTAAGTTATAAACCTTCTAATGTAAATACCTAATATAGTTTTGATCTTAGGACAGTTCTTGTATTTGCAATCATTTTTCTAAGAAAGGCTGTAAAAATCGCTGTAAAATATATATATATTTTTTACTTATTATATATATCTCTGAAACTGTCGAAATATACAGGGGGTCCCCTTTATCGTTTTTCAAATAAGTCCAAAATAACGGAGTTATTTAACTGTGAAAATTTCCAAAAAAAAAAGATTTTTTGCTAAAATTTTGAGAACCACTGGATCTTTTCTGGATTTTCTTTCTTGTAAATTTAGTCTAATACCTATGTTGCCATATTATCAAGAAATTATGTTTTTTAGCTAAAAACTAAAAAAAAATTTCAAAAAATTTTTCAAAAAATTTGGAATTTTCGAAAAAAATTTTTCGCAAAAAAAAACTCATAGGCGTGTTTCTAGGGTTGAACTATACTACCAGTTAAAATACTTGCACTTATTTCTGGGACACCCTGTATATTTAATCATATCTTTGGATTATGTAAAATGATCTGTTTTTTGCATTTTTATCAATATTCCATCACGATTTTTTTTAACAAATATCAGATACGGATTTATTGCACCAAAAAAACATAGTGGAGTGATTTAAGCCCTTATGGGATACAAACCTCGGAATTCATTTACTGTGAACGATTTTTTATAAAACTTTTTGCATTGTATTGTTAATAAGATATATTACAAAGTTTACCCATTTAAAAACGTTGCTTTCGCTTTAGTATTTAAATAAACACACAATATACAAATGCATACATACAAGATGGCTCCGTATTCCGGAAAAGCTCTGTATCAGGATTCCTGTTTGAGATTTTCACTCCAAACCTTTTACAAAATATATGTCTAATGGTAGACATTTCAAAAATATTTTTATAGATATACAGGGTGAGTCAAATATATATATGTATATCTATATTTGTTTAGTTCAGTGAATTTGCTATAAAATTCCGGTTCCAAAAACACCTTAATACCGTAGAGTATACTAAGTGGTTTTTGAATTATGACCACGTCCATAAGAATGTCAATCTAGACGTCCAGAAATGTATGAGAACTTCTAATCGAGACAGTAAATGTAAATTTATCGCTAAGAAACTGCCGTTTGCCAGCTTTTCAAATTGATAATGAATTGCACTTAAGGAACGTACATATTAACTAACGGACTATAAGAAGAAGATTAAATGAAGCAAATCTTATGTCAAGAAGGCCTGCTTCGGGACCAGAACTTACTAGATGTGTTGACTAGGCCCAAAAGTAAAGGCATGGTCTTAAGGTAAAAGTTACGAAAAATGTTAGTGTCTTCTTCAAAAGCGAATATTTCCAACAAGAATAAAGCTAATGAGATGAACCAAAAAACAAACCATCGAGAAAGGATGGATCTAGATGATAAAATGATTTTTAAATTTCTTGCTGTTTTAACATATTCCACAGGGTGTTTCAAACTTTCATCAAAATATGAACATTTTGTTTTCCCTCGTATAATTAACAGATGGGGAGTTTCATTTTTAATTTAGAAAAAGATACTAAAAAGTAAAATAATTGGGCTACACACTGCTTAAAAAATCATCAAAATCGGCCCATTAAAACCAAATATATTAACCTTTAAAATACATCAAAGTTTTAGGTGCCCATTTTTCGTGCCTGTGAATGTATTTCAAAAACTATACATTTTAGTCATATTCTTTTCTAATAAAACAAACCTTTATTTTTTTACTAGAATCCAAAATCAATTAATATATAGGGTGTTCCATTACAAAAAACATAACTTTGATGTGTAACTTTTTTTGGGGACACCCTGTAGAACTCTAGTATATAATTTTATAAAATGCTTTATACTAACTTACATAAGCTCACAAAATTTCACTTCAATACAAACTTTTGTTCTCCTTGCAAAAACCGCGTCGTATATGACGCGCTACCCTGTATAATTCGATTTCAATCAAAATTTCAATAATTAGAATAATAGGCAGAATAGGTATGGCTTATGCATTAGATTTATTTATTTCAATAAATTTACTTAGAACAAGAATTAAAAAAATCCAAAAATTAAGAAAGAGATAAGAATTTACTAAAATTACTAAAATATAAAAATAAAAGCAGCGAAAAAAAAATGGGTAAACATTTTAGTATTTTATCTATAAAACACAATACAGAAGGTTTCACATTAACACAGTCACAGTAATTCAATTCCGAGGTAAAAGTCTCTGGGCACTCCATTAACATAAACAACAAAATAAATCAGACTACCCCAAGACCTCCTTCAAAAAAATACAATTTGGCTATATCCACTGTAGATAGGTATAAAATGATATTTTCTATACTCACCTTTGGTCAAAAATCTTGCGTGTTCACTCAGTTCACTGTTGTCGTCATCGTTCTCGCCCATCATATCAGACAGCATCAACGACATGATACGCGAACCCCCGAAAAATGCATACCTTGTGCCCGGTCACGGTCCCCGTGTCGCCTTTTATATCGTCCTAAACTCTCCTAGAAAATCGCCAACCTACACCTATCAATTTTATATAATTTATAACTAATTTTATTTCTATAACAATCATTATTTGTAACTGGTCCGATGATTATGTCATTGTCGAAGATGTGGTCGTTTGCTATTTCGCAACCGTTTTAAGCTACTGCGTTCCTTAATTCCTTTATAAATTGCTTTTTAGATTTTTGAGAACTATTTTTTAATCAGATTTATTTTATTTTTTTATAGTTTTTTTATCGAAAGAATTGGGAAGATACGCAACCTAATGAGCGAATTCGTGACTGGGTTGATTTGATTTTCCCTTACGTCTCGAGTGCTGTACGGTGGACACACCAATCGTTCTGCGGCCAACGCAAAAAAACTCTTATTTTCTTTAATACGGTCAGCGAAGGCATATCTATGGAGTCCAGAGGTAGGTAGATCAAAGACGGCGTGGACCTGAAAGGGCTGAAAGCGACCGTGTTGCCATATTAAAATGTGTAATATCTGTAATACGTTTGGTAAAAATATCTTTGGATGAAAAATCCGCAGTTATGTTTTGAACATTAATTTATTCGTGTTAAAAACGAATAGACAACAACATTAGAATAATCAACAAAAATAAAAATTCTTTTATAGGTACTAAATATGTTGTATGATCAAAAAAAGTCGTTTAGTTGGCTTGGAAATAACAATTATTCACATTTACCATAATATTTTATATATGAAATAACACCGATCTTCATTTTCAAGCCAACTCTGATGCCATTCTTTGTTTAATCATATAATATTATATTAAATTGTTAATGATAGAAAATCCGTATTATTAACGTACAATACCCAAAATCCGTAGGTTAGGTTAGGTTAGGTTGCTGGGGTTTGGGATCATATTTGATCCCTCACTCGGAGGCCTTGGGCCCATTGCGATACCCCTGTGTTGTTTTACCAAACCTTCCTCTCATTCTTTCTTTGCGTTAAAGCACTTCCAGGTCTTTGCAAAGTTCTCGATGTTCACGAAAAATAATTTAATTAAACGAATCCACGAGCAAAATATTAAATAAAAACTGACAAATAAAGAGTAAAAAAGTTCAAAAGGGAAAACGTGAATGGACAAAATCAAGCCTTATTACTGCTTTATACCAATGTAGATATATAATTTAGATATTTCCATCAAAATGTATGAATGTTTAATCAAAGATGAGATTAAAAAGCAAATATAAAAAATGTATTTTTTTCGAATAATAATATTTTCTAAAGGTTAAAGAAAAATAAGAGATGATAAGTAAATCAAGAACGTAGTTGATAGTTGTTTTTGTTTTAAGGTAGATTTTCAATTAAATAATATCGATTTTTTGTCAAAAATAACTATAAATTATAGTCTGCCGAAGAGACAAGAAAAATTTTGACAGACGACGTCCAAAAAAATGACAGGTGACAGGAGATACAATTTACGCATAGATAAAGGAAATCAATTTAGATTGGAACGCCCGTCAAAATTTTAGGTCGCGACCGTTGTACGCGATCTGGCGCTGCTATAGCGATTGCTAAGAACAACCGCAAACAAAAACAGAAATATTTTTCATTTGTCCATATCTCTTGTCAAAGTCAGAATCTTCAAAAATTATAAAGTCTTTCAAAATATAAACCGCTATCATTGAAAAAATTCCGAAAAGTGTTTAAAGCGCCCATTTTCAAAGTAATTATTGCTATCTTGTGAGTTTTATTTACTCAAACCCGTGATAATTGTGAAAAAGTGGCATTAAAAACTTAAAAAGCTGTGCTGTGAACTGCAAAAACCATCGTGGATCGTAGTATAACGTCGGTTTCCAATGTTTCATAGGTATTTCATATATGTCCTTATATAAAATAAAGTTTCTTGTATGGAAACACACTGTATTTTATTTATAAAATTAAAAGAAAATAATAATAAATTTAAATAAATAATATTTGGCGATATAATTCCGGAAAAAGCCGAACCGCTCCGAAATTTTCAAAAGCTTTGGGTCACGACCGTTGCAAGAATAGGGCCAAATAGTGTTTACATTATCCTTATGGGCACTTTCCAATCTAAACTTCTTTCATTTATGTATGAATTTACGTTACGTGTGAATTAAAATGATAGATCAGACCTGTCACTGTCATGTATCTTCTTGTTGGATATACTTTACCCAGTTTTTCGGAAACCAAAAGGAAAACCTTGGGAAAAAGTGGGCGTAATTCGCAAACATGTCTTCTGGATTTTCCGGAAAATTTGATTAGAACGAATAAGATTTTTCGATAGATAGCGAACGACGCTTTCGAATTTCGTCTGGATAGTTTCGGGTTGGGTTTGATTTGTTTTGTGTCTTTTCTATTTGCTTTCGCTTTGTTTGTATTGGACCGAATTCCGAATAATATATGTTACTATAAAGATTGAATCTAGAGGCTGACTTTTCCCCAAAATTTTTCCCAAAATCTATTATGCGAAAAATATTTTTAGGTTTTTTAACTAGGCATGGTAAAACTTAAACACAAATTTACATGTGTTAAATTAAAAAAAAAATGTGTGCACTATGTGCGCATATTTGAAGTAAAATTTCTTCCATATAGAAGAATCGGTTCGAATCATCGATGGTTTTATTCTGTAGCCCGTCCCCAATTATGCCGGACTCGACCCACGTTTTTCTTCAATATTAAATCGTTAGGCCCACCCTGATATAGATGTTAACGAAACGTCGTATCCAACTTTGCAGGGTGGCACCGTGTGCACCGTCGCTCACATCTCACATACCCTACCCACCAAATTTGGTCGCGATCGGACGACATCAACTTTTGACGTTTCTTACGTCAAAACTAACTGTCATAGTGACACGTATCGTACACGGTCAAGTTGGCCTGTTCGAGTCCCATCTATGTTCCGAATTTCAGCCCCCCAACTCACATAAGGCCCGAGTTACGACGCTCCAAAATCGTCACCATGCACTTTTCCTACCGCGTCTCAGGTGACAAGTCCTTCAATTTTTACTTCCATCGTGCGTAAAGAAATGTTTCACCTCAAAAAATATTTCTTTTTGTAAAACAAGACAAAAAATGCTGTCCTTGATGTTAATAAGGCTCTAGGTTTCAGTATTGAAGTTAAGCTTCACTCAGAAATTCGTAATATATCTAGAAATTCATTTTCCTCATAATTTTAGTAGAATAAATTAGTGGTTTTAATTAGCGTAGAAATATGTTCGTTTAATTTCAATGTAAGCATTCAGAACGTCAAAATTAGTGGTAGGAATTTTCAATTAGTGGAAAAAGGAAACAAACTTTTGACTTTTCCACTAAGTATACTACAAAATTTGCGAGGAATGACATTTTGGCATTTGATTGTCATTCGACAAGAGAAAATGTGGTTAGAAACCAAAAGTTTATTGTTTTATAAGTTAGATATTAGGCTTTCTCTATGGATTCAACTGATTACTGCAAGCTGTTGCTAGGACATTCTATTAATTTTAATTGTGTATTTTATTGCGCGTTTAGACTTGAGCACGCACGAGATGAGCGTGCGCGCACGGCATTCGTTCGCGCTCTCGGCTACGTTCAAATTAAAAACTTATTTTTCGAAGAATGAAGTGATCCATTTGCTCTGCTGTTCGCGCACGCGAACAGCAGAGTTGTGTTGGCGGAAATAATGGACTACCAAGAAATAATCGAGGCTGCAGTCATTGTTATGCACAGCTTAATTATTAAAAAGGAGAAAAATCGAAAACATCGTCGCTGGTGGCAAACCCAAATTTTTAGAAATCAATATAATTTACTGCAACAACTTAGTGTCTGAGGAGGGCTATGATCAGTTCAAAAACTTTACAAGAATGACCAGACCCGACTTTGAATATTTACAGAATTTAATAACACCAAAAATTACGAACAAAAGATACAAATTTTAGAATAGCAATTTCATTAATATCGACATATTCAATATTAATTTTATTTACAAGATCTTGCGATGCGTTTTTTTTTATTTTTTAATAATACAAAGAATGTTTAACATTCCATAATATAGGCAACTTTTCATATTTTTCAATTAATAATAACGAAAATTCATTGATCCACTCCATAATTTTAAAAAAGAAAACGAAAAAAATCACACCCAGACGCACGAACGCAGACAAAACAAATTGCCGGTGCAAACTGAGCGTTCGCGCACACATAAAATCTCTTTGAGCACGGACCAAAAACCAACACCACAGGGCTCACGTTCGCGGCTGCTCGCGCACAGACAGATACAGAGTGAGCGTGCGCGCATACCCGTTTACACTTGAGCATTCGCGGAGGATCAGTGCGTGCGTGCTCAAGTCTAAACGCACCATTAGACATTGTAAAAAAAATTCGTAAACTAAAAAGTCTAAAAGTATAAAATGTAATTGATACCACTAATTTATTCGACTAATTACGAGGTTCTGAATACAGTTCCGAAACGTTATAAGCATTATTATAAACGTTCTAGCGAATATTTCGGTATTGCTTAAATTAAAGTAAAAATTTATTCAATTCGGTTCAGTAGTATAGCTAGAACCGAAGGTTGATGATACCCACTTTGCTGAAAATGCATTAAAGTGACATTGAATGGTCCATCACATGGAAAACATCATTCTATTTAGAAGAAACACAACTAAAATTATAAAGCATCAAATTGTAGCTTTAACGTGTAAGCTAAATCTTAAATTTGATCAAGTACATGCCGAGAAAATAAAAGTATTCCGAAATTTGCCATATACCGGATGCGTCTCAAAAGTGGCTCACCCCTATAACTTTTTTATGTTTTTAGTTAAAAAAACGATATTTGAATATGTTGGTATATGATATAAATCAGGATTGATTGACGTAATCTATTGTTTTCGGCCACGTTCTGTTTCACCGGAAATGACTACAACTTTTGATTTTTAAATGGCACTCCCGGTATTTTTTATTTTATTTGATGGAAAATGACACTCTGAATAGAATGACATATCATATGTCAACTTTTGACATTTTCGCATATGATTTATTTGAAATGGTAGGTAATATGCGGTTCATAACGACATTTTGACTCGAAATACCAAGTGTGTGGTATCAAATTATTCGTAAAAAATGCTTTTTCCCAATATGCTAACGAGC